CTCCCCCTCAGGGCAGCCTGCCTCCCTCCCCTAAAGATTCTAAACTTCACCTGTCATGAGAATGTCGGCAGAACATACTGCGCCTGCGCGAAACTGTTTTTCACGGTTTTCGTTGCATGTTTGGTCAATGTTGCATCAGAAGTTTGCCTGTTACAGACGATATCTTTTCCGACATAACCTTTGGAAATTACAGACGGGATGTTAGCCTTCTATACGAGAATACGACCTTATATGAGACGTTCTGCCTAAGTTCTATGCAGAATACATTACAGGTTTCGCGCAGGTGCAGTACGTACTGCCGACGTGCTCCTGCCATGACAGGGCAGATTTCTACTGCAGCGTTTGAAGGCACCGAAACGGGACAGACTCACTAAAGTAACCTCTTGGGGGCATCTCAAGAGTTTACACACTTCTCACAAACATGCCAACTCTGCCAACCCATTTTATCCAAACATGAAACCAATATAGCCAGCAGTCCAAGAAAAAACTACTCCAATTCAAGAGTTCAGTTCAGTCAGTTGACTCAGTTCCTTCACCATGCATGTTTCTGGTAGCCTGGGTTCCATCCTGGTTAGTTTACGTCCGCTCCTACAGTAGCGACTGTAGGAGCGGACGTAAACTAACCAGGATGGAACCCAGGCTATGTTTCTGGTTCACAACTATTACAAAAAACGTGAAAGAAATTGCACTGCACTAGGTGTAGTGTTAAACTTTGAAAAAGACCAGATGCAAACTTTGAGTTCTCCTCACAACTTTTACAAAAGCAGGAAAAGAAAATTGCACTGCACTTAAGGTGAAGCCGTTAAAAGCTTTGAAAAAGGCCAGCTGCAAACTCTGAGATGTCCCCTTCACAATTTGGTAAAAAGAGCCAGACTTTATAATATAGATTCCAGCTTTTCCTCTGTGTGATTATCTGTCCTGATTGTCGTCTGAACCTATCCCATCATCCACCTGCGCCTTCCCAGCATGCCTGGCTTCCTTCCCAGGATGCCCTGCTGCGAGGTGTTCCGTCGCCGGGGCGACGGTCTCCGCGGAGACGAACTCGTCGTCGTCCCACTCCATCTCGGTGGAGACGTTGGACTCGAGGCGCTGCCTGTCGGCCGGGTCCTCCACGATCAGCTTCAGGATCTCCACTTCTGTGTTGCTGCGCGCTCGCCGTAACAACTCCTCACCCAGTTCTAAAACAGACAGACAGGGTCATCAGAGGAAGCTTAGGGAAACAACAGACTGTCACAGGAAGGAAATCACATGCACAAGAGCAAAAATAAAGCTTTTCAGTGTTGCTGCGCGCTCGGCGTAACAGCTCCTCACCTAGTTCTAAATTAAAACAGACAACAAATTTGTTACAGGAAGCTTAAGGAAACCGGAAGAGCAAAATTAAAAAGTTAAAAGCCTTTCTGGTGTTCAAAACTAAGTCTTGTTCCTTACCCAGTTTATAACCAACAGATAACACTGAGTAAAATTAAAAGCTTTTCTGTGTTTCAAATTTGTTCCTCATCAAGTTCTAACACAGACAGTCATCAAATTTGTCACAGGAAGCTTTAGGAAACCAGAACAACAAAATTAGAGCTTTGCTGTGTTAAAAATTTGTTCCTAGCTCGCCAAGTTCTGCAACAGACATTCAACAAACAACAGACTGTCACAGGAAGGAAACCACATGCACAAGAGCAAAAAACAAAGCTTTGCTGTGTTCAAAACTTGTTTCTCAACGAGTTCTGTAACAGACAGACAACAAAATTGTTACAGGAAACTTAAGGAAACCAGAAGAGCAAATATAAAGCTTTCTTGCTAAAAGAGCAAGAAGGGGGAATGCAAAAATATCCAAGAGGATTATTCTAACAAGACATTTCAGGCGTCTGTAAGGAACATTAATATTCCAGGTGTCTTTAACCCCCAAGAAAAACAGAAGAGGTACAAACCATCTGGGGAGTGAATAGGGGCTCCAGCTAACAGGAGAAACCACAAGAAATCATGGATAAGCCTGACGATTGGCAATTATGTAACCTAATACATGGCAATTACATAGCAGCTACATAGGCAGCAACTTAATAAAAGCAGCTGACTGACAAGTAGAAAAAAATACTACAAAAATCATTAAATATTGGAAGGCCGTTTCACAAGTACAATGTAATAAAATCCACAGTTGAACTTGACTCCAACTGACCTCCCAACTCTTCGTTCTCCCACTCCAGGTCCAGCGAAGTCGACTCTCCGTTCTCATTGGTAGCCTCGTCGCCAGGCGTGGCCTCTATAGCTCCTGCACACGGCAACAGTTGCCATGGTTACCAAGACATCTTCATTTTTTGGATCACTTCCTTTGTTCTACTTTTACTAGGTAGTCAAGCATCACTGAGATACCATGACTTGTATTGTTATTGTTACTTTTAAAACTATGTGTAGTAATAACAATGTGAAATTGTATGTAATAGTAAATGCGTATGAGTCTTGCTTTTGCTTTCACAGCACACAAATGAATGAATGAATGAATGAATGGAAGAGTAAATAGAAGAATGAATGAATGAAAAAATGAGGAAAGAGATCTCCTACCCTCCATGCTCTGTCTTGTGCTGAGTGCTCTCTGTTTGACACTTTCTAGAAACTTCTCAAAATCTTCCTCCCCACCAGCCCTAAACAAACAAACATGTCAGACATTTCCAAATTTGCAGTTAACAGGAATAACAGCATTTTGAGCCCTGCCTGTGATTGACATTCAAAAATCAAGAAGAAAATAAGAAACTGTGACTCACACTTCCCAGTCGTCTTGGTCGCCCCCGACCCAGGCCTTGGGGCCATTCTTAGCAGCAGCCTGTTGCTTAAGAAAGTAGAAGGAACGTCAGAAAACATCTTCACAAGTTTACAGGAAACAGAAAACATTTGAAAAAAGCAGCTATGGCCTGGTGCATGATGGGATTGGAGGGAACTATGGGTAACCAAAGTTTGCTACATTATAAAGTTTATCAAGAGGATCTTAACGAACATCTTGAAGTCTTAATTAAGAAATGAGAAAATTGACTCTAAGTTAAAAACCAAGATGGCTTCAGTCTCCTCCAACCCACCACCACCATCCTGAATAAACGTCAGAAAAAATCAACCAAATCAGTAAAAGTGCGGGTATAATTTTCCCGGGTTTAAAACCTCGTCCAGAAGTTTGCGCTGTTTGGCGATTCGCGCCGCTTCCCGCTGAGCCGCATAGAACGCCTCCTCCTCAATCCGCAGCTGCTCCTCCTGAGCCTGTAGCTATGGTAACGTCATGGAAACAACAGACGGGTTCACGTCAGTCGCCATGTGGGAACAGGTGTGTGGGACAGGAAAGTGCAAAACAGAAGGAAGCTACAGAACACGTGTCAAGGTTCTGGCTTAATGTGTAGCAGTTCAGAGTCACAGTCTGGTCTAGAACTTATAAATTACGTCTGATCCTCCGTGAATGGTTTAATCAGGTTGGTAAGACACTGAGTAAAGAGACTCTTTTTACACTTTGAAACTTTTTATACCTCTGCACCTAGCTCATGATTAGTGTCTATACTATAGTGTGTGCAACTGTATGTGTGTACAAATAAAATGTATGTGTATACATGTACTAGTATATAGTATACATGTATATTGTGTACATATATATTGTGTATATTGTGTTGTGTACATGTGTATATTGTGTACATGTATATATTGTGTTCATGTATATATTCTGTACATGTATATATTCTGTACATGTATATATTCTGTACATGCACATGTTGTATATATAGTGTACATATATTGTGTACCTCAGCCTCTAGCTCAGCGTCTATAGTCCTCTGCTGCTGGACCAAGTCGCTGTAACGTTTCTGTTTCAGGGCTTCGATCTCTTCTCTGGTAACAGCCCTACACACACCCAAACACACACACAAACAAACTCTCACAAAATATCTGCATTTCTCTAGTGTTATGTTGAATCTAACAAAAGGCATCAGGAACATTGTCAAACTAGTCTGGCCAGACATTTTCTGCAATTAGTTGAGGAATATTTCTAAATTACTCAAAAAGATGAAATACAAAAAATTACTACAGAAATTTTAAGAAATTCACATCTGAAATGAACATGTGTAAAAAGTAATTGGCACTGTTTTTGCACGACAGGTGTAAAAGTAAAAGTTTGCAGAAGAGAAAGTGAGTCATGCAGGTGTGTAAGGTAAGACCAGGTGTGCACAGGTACCTTCCTCTGTCTACGTTGTCATCCTGAAACAAAAACCACACACGCTGTAACATCAGCTCATAGTTCAGGTAATAAGTACACAAGACAACAACACATCAACATTCTTATCAACAGGAATTTTACCTCAGTTTTAAAGTCTAATTCGTAAACTAAGAGTCAAACAACAATTTACAAAATCATACACAAATACTGGAAGGTAAATCATCATCAATACAAAATACTTTTAAATCTTTTGAATTTCAGGCTGTTGACAAAGTTTTGGTGCCCTTGAAAGCCCTTTGAAACAAGAGTCCCACAAGACCAGACCAGGAGGCAGTGCTATGATGTCAACATAATTTATGTTGTGTACAAATTCTTTACCACAAACAGATCTATATTTTAGGTTACATGGTAGGTTAGCTGGCAGACTCAATCCCAAATAAACCATTTTATCATCATCATTTAGTCGTGGACATCCTTAAAAAAAACATAATTCTCAACCATGAACTCCCATCATGCTTTGCAAGTCTCAGTCCCAGAGCAGTGTGCAAGCCACTTCAATCCCATCATGCCTCAGCCATGGTGCTAAAAAAACAAATTCAAACCAACAACTAAAAAACTAAATACAGTTCAAACTGCTGAGCACTTACCTCGTCTATGAGGTTTTCAAACTGGAAAAGAAAGGAAAAAAACATAGTCTTGTCCATCTTTCTATTAAGAAAAA